TCCTGGTTTAGCTGTTTGAGGTTCTTGTGTCCCCGTGGCCGCTCCGTGTGGCTCTGTGTCGCACATGCTTCCCGAGGAAAAAGTTAATCTCTTGCTTTCGCCGAATACATCGTGTCTGTCCACTGCCTCTGCCGCCGCACATGTTATTCCGCGCACGTACGTGCATAACCATTGACACGGCATTGAAACACAAGCTATAGATCCATGGACGCTACGCATGGTGCGGTTGTTGGTGTTTTTGCATTTCCCACAAAGTTTTGCGGTTCCTGCTCGGCTGTTATTGGTCGAGAAGCCTCTGCCTACATCCCCCACAATGCCATGCGCTTATGAGTCGGCTTTACTTCCGGTGTTTTCTTCCTGTTTTTCCTGACGGAGTTAAGTTAAACTATCGAACATTCTATCGACCCCATTCTCTATTGATATCGAACACATGTCTATTGCGATATATATCGTTATCGTTTTATCGCCCAGCCCTAATCTCAGCCTCAGCTGCTCTCATCATTGTGAATGCAATCGAGCGGCGATCTCTGTACACTTGAGAGAAGCTTTTGGGAAGTAGTGGTCCATGATTTCACTCTGGATCCAAAACTTTGGAATGACACGCACCACATTTGAGGAGTTATGCGGTGGGACCTCTGTGGCACCCGCTGCGCACTGCCCATGAGACCACTGCCCAAGAGTCAGTTCCCATAGATAAGGGCGTTGCCATCCTATCTCCAAACTGCAAAATGCGGAGTACAGGGCAGTGGCTGAGACATTTGGAGTGAGCAAGACCACAGTTCATCAGTACATTTATGTGGTGTGTGAGGCTTTATGCACAAAACTAATGAAACAAATACATTGCTTTGCCAGATGTGAATGAGGCAAAACAAATGCATGCGTAATTACGCAGCGCGGGGCCTGACTGTAGGGGGAGGCTGAGCACAAGTGCCAAATGAACATAAACTATTACATCAGCAGTAATCAATTGTTTTTCAACTGAAGCTGCCATTTTTCACAGTCTTTGATAAAATTTGACTGAGTAGCCGTGTTGTCCTGACACTGTCCCAGAGAAAATCCAGTATTGTGTATGACAAACTACATCATACCATGGTTTGGATAGGAAAACCGCAGCAAAAAATCTGCTCTTGTTGTGTCCCTTCTACACTTGCAGGCTTTATCAACTTGGATACAGGGCTTGGTCCAATTAAGGCTTCCGCGCATTCAAAGCACAGATCTATTACTGTCTTATAGTTAACACCAAACTGCTTCAAACTAATAATCGTGTGAATACCACCTTTTTCTACTGTTTGTATAGGTATTTATTTAGATCGATTTTAATGTAATTTGGATACCATTTTATACTTATGTCATTTTCTTCTCTTCATTTACTACAATTTAGATCATTGGGAATCAGCTGGGCTGTAAAAGCAGTGAAGCAGAAGTACTTCTCATTTGCATAAAAGCTGCTCAGCGAGGCACTCACTACTCTGTAAAATTAGGGAGCGCACAAATTGCTACATGCGTTTCCAATGGCTGACTGGGGAAATATCAGGGTGACAGGCGGGAGCATTTACTGTACATTATAAAAAAGTGAGATTCAGCGTCATGATCAAACAAATGTTTCATATCTTAATTTAAATGACAGCGGCTTTAATGAGACAACTTGTAATTAAACAGGAAGTATTATTATGTATCAGCATGTTGGTGATTGGAGTGTTTATAATCAAAATGAAAAGTACCATTTACAGTGCCTTGATAAAAGTAGATTAATAAATTTTTCCACATTTTGTCATTTTACGTAAACAGATATTTTGTAGCTACCTTGGTTTATCTTTGTTAAAAGGACTCCACTAATCAGACTGACGCTCATGTGCTTTATTCTCTCATCACTTTCAGCACTTTCACAGGAGGCTCATTCTTTTTAATGAAAGACAGCCATTCCACATCCCCCTGTCGGAGCTCTGCATACTTGATAATGATCAGGTTACTTATTTTCGCCACTTTTATGCACTCTTTTGATATTCAGGCTCAGCATGCTGTGAACTCCATGGAGTCACTCTATTGTAGAGACCAGGCAACTTCTATTCACGTTGTTTTTTACTTTTAGTTGGAGAGAAAACACTTGCAAACTGAAGAAACAATCTCCTAATAATAAGAAAAGAGCTGTCTGCACACTCAAATATCCGAGTTTTTGATGTAAATGTCTGAGAACTTTTATTTTATGGGCCCCCCTGCAGAGGCAATAGGCAAAGGCAGTAGGCTTGGGAATTTGGAATTCTACAGTATGAAAATGTATTTGAATGAACTAAAGTGAATGTGAAATTATTTATTGTCAGGAACAAACACACAATCATAGCCATTAACCAAAATGACAAAACTCTAAACAAGTCATCTTTATTTATATATCATTTGGGCATTTTCCCTCTCACTCCATGTAGTGACGTAATATTGTGTGTCACATTCCGTCTTCCTGCTGTGACGTGCATTTTTACACACGTCTTTACCTACAGTAGCAGTGTTGCATGTGTATTCAATTAAATGTAGTGAAGAGGAGTGCACTGACCACTATATTGGAGAAACCAAACAAACTACAGAAACGACTTTACCAACATTGTAGAGAAAACTCTAGTGGGCCACAGTCGGCTGTTCATCTCCACCTCAAGGCCTCCAACCACACGGTGGATGACACAGAGGTTAAAATTCTGGCTCGGGAGAAGAATTGGTTTGAGAGAGGGGTGAAAGAAGTCATTTTTGTGAGGAAACAAAAACCTTCTCTTAACAGAGGAGGAGGGTTAAGATTTGTTTTGCCTCGCATCTATGACGACATCCTAAAAACAACGCCCTAACTTGGGACAAGGTCAGTGACATGCTAATGAGTTAGGAGGGGTGAAACCTGCACTCCACTTGAGCATCCCAGCAGACAATAGGTCTGTGACATGCTAAGGAGTTAGGGTCGTTAGCCTCAGCAGGGTCGTTAGATCTGCTCCCTTCTACATCAGACCTTAGATTGTTTATGAGTTAGTATCAGGATTAGGGTGTGGCTAACCACACCCATAGGTTATAAATCTCCAACGCGCGGTCCGAGAATTCATTCCCTGAAGAAGTCCGCTAGTTTGAGGACGAAACGTCGGGAAAACTTGCTAAGAAGTACAGATGATGGGTGAGAACCCTTCCTTTGCTTTGACTAATCCCTGTACGACTGAGGGCTTACACAAACATACAGTCTATGGTTCATACCAGAGTTGCTTACAAACAATCGGCCCTGATTTTCAGAAATAATATAGACTGGGAGACCGCCCCTGGACTTAAGAAGTTAGTCCGGCCACATGGGAGGAATTTGTCAATCTCTGTGTTTTATGTTGAAAATTGACCAAATAGATTGCATAACAGTGCTCGAAAAGCACCAATTCGAACACTGCTCAAGAGTTATGCAACTTATTTAAATTCTCGTTCCTCGTGTCTTTCCCTCCTCGCGTCTCCCCTTGTCTCCTCCCGTCCTTGTGGACTTTGTGATATTAAACATGTTGACACCAGTCTTTTCATTTTTTGTACAAATTAATATCTGGACTATATCAGTTGTCAGCCTCCTTGACGAGTCATCACTAGTATTGGTATTGGCCCTGCAAAAACAAACAAAAAAATCACTTGTTGACCTATTTACTGTTGTACACAAATGCCCTCCATCTATTCTGTCAGAGCATGAGCTGGGAATGGGAAAGACATGTTGACCTCTAGAGGAGGCTGAATATTTTTAATATTTTTTTTATAATACAGTCATGTCACACTGTGCTTCCACTTTCACAATTCTGCCACTTTGTGTTGGTTGTTCAAAGAAATTATAATAAAATAAATCCAATAGCACAAACAACTTGTAATGTGGTATAAATTGTCAAGGAAGATGCATTTGACTGATCCTTGTCTAATAACGGAAGCTCCTGAAACTGGCTCACTACATTGACCTCTCACCCGCCAAAGACCATGGAGCTCCTCATCCTCACGCTGAAGACCATGGAGCTGTTCATCCTCACCCATCTCCACTCTGTGGTCAGCCCCGCCCTACAGGTTCAGGATCGGAGTTGAGGACACTGTCATCATCGACTACCTCTCGGACCGACCACAATATGTGCGGCTGCGCAGCTGTGAGTCTAAGGTGGTAGTCTGAAGTGGCCTCTCACTGTTTCTCTTCACATCGGACTTCACAACACACACAGCTGTCATCTGCAGAAGTTCTGCGACGACTACACCATCGTGGGTCTGAATGATGACTTTAAATAAACTAAAAAGGCGTTTTATTTCTCAGTTCATACACAAGGAAACTTAAAGTGTGTATTAACAGTACTTATGTTATTATTAGTGCTGTCCAACGATTAAAATATTTAATCGCGATTAATCGCATGAATTTCATAGTTAACTCGCGATTCATCGCAAATTAGTCACACATTTGTATCTATTCTTTATGTCCCTTGAATTATCATTTTAATACTACTAAAAAGTGAATAGGCGTGCTGTGTGCAATTGCTTTTTTTATTGAAAACAATGTGTAGTGTTATATTACATACTAACATTTGATGCAAAATCATCAATAAATGGATGACAAAATAAATAATTGGTAACAAAAAGCCCCTTCAACAAAGGGTGATACAAAATAAAGTTACAAAGTGCAAATCAATGTAAACAAGAACTCTAGTGCAGTTAAACCATGGCTTAAACTTTACTTTGAACTAGCAGTAACACTGTACTGCTCTTCTGTTTATTCACCAGAGGCTTATCAACCCAGCCTCATATTTCTGTGCAAAAAGAACATTAACAGTTACCTAAAAGATATGCCAGCCTACTACTTCTTTTCTTTGAGCCAGTTACTCAAGCAGACAAGCCTGTTGACATTTTCAGACAACAGAGAAGCTCTCTTTTTCTGAACAACATGTCCAGACAGTGAAAACAACCTTTCAGAAGGTACTGATGTGGCAGGTGTTGCCAAGTACTTGCGTGCAAGGCGGGCTATCTCACTGTGTGAAGCTTCAAGTTCCCTTGAACTTGATCATGTAGGATGGGTTGTCCTCAGTGACCTCCATCACTCGGGACAGATGACACAATGCTGGCAGCACCACTGAGCAAGAAACATACTTCTCTCCACCCAGAAGTTCAGATATATACCTGCAATAATATTAAGAAGCTCTTTAGTGTTTCACTCACATATCACTCACTCGATTATTAAAGAAACAAATAAACAAGAAATTACCTGCACTGCTCCAACGCAGCCTCAAGCTTCTTCATTTTCTCCAGTTCAGTTGCTGTTGGTATGGTGACGTTGGTTGTGTGTAGTGCCAGTGCATCTCTCAGGGGTTCAGCATTCCGCTGGACACGCTTGATCATTTCTAGGGTACTATTCCATCTTGTTGACACGTCCTGTGTGAGTGACTCGGTCTTCTGATGGTGTGCGGTTTGTTGCTGCTCGAGCTCCACGGCATTTGCTGGGCTATGCTTGAAGTGCCCAACAACTTTTCTGCATTTTGCCAATGCGTTGTCAAATGGGCTGTTATGTAGAGAAACCGTGACTGCTCGGTGCACAATGTGTGCGATGCACGGCATGTGTTCAAAAGGGAGCTGTCTGGCCGCAGCAATCATGTTGCGTGCACTATCCGTGGTCAGTGAGACAACTTTGTGTTCGATATTCCACTCTCTGGCTACTTTCATGAAATGCTCTGCAACAGCGTCGCTGAAGTGCCTCTCTTCTGTCTTCATAACAGTCAAAGCATGCGAATGAAGTTCCCACTGTGGATCGAAATAATGGACTGTGACTCCGAGGTAGTTATCATTACTGAGGGATGTCCAGTAATCTCCAGTCAGCGCGACTTCATTTGTCTGCTCCAACGCATGCTGTACCTTAGGCCTGTCACGATATTTTTTTTTGCCTGGCGATAAATTTCTTCTTAAATTATCTCGATAAACGATAATATCTTTACACGCCGTTTTATTGCAAGAATTAAAAAATACAGTAAAACAATTGTATAAATAACTAGAAAAAGAACAATATTGGAGGTAGCACAACAGGAACAATACTTTAAAGTGCTTAAAAAATATATAAACAGAAATAGCATTGAGGTATCAAAACAAGAACATTTTAAAGTGCTTTTTTTTTTTTCAAATTAACAAACTGTATTGAGGTAGCACAACAAGAACATTTTAAAGTGTCTTAAAGAAATCAAATGTTTAACCAGCCACCAGACATGGTGCCTTCCTAAGAAATTATGAAATTCAAAACAATATTTCACTTGACAAATGTATAAACGTAAATTGCCTTGTTCAGAATAATAGTTTTAGCAATTGCGAGCGAGGAAAACCAACATTTTAACCTTGTGTGGTTTAAGGCAAGACCTCTCAGGGGTCGCTATGTTCCCTGCTGTGCTGAACATTCGTTCTGAACTCGTGCTTGTGGCACAAATGCACATGTATTTTTTTGCAAGCTTGGAGATTAACTCATTCACTGCCCATGACGACAAAACTCGTCATGTTGAATAGTAACGCTCACTGCCCATGACGAGTTTGACGAGTTTTTCGTGTTATTACATGGGAGGCTACAGTAATGTCTGGCGCACCTTGTGAATGACCCACAATACTGATATATAGTGCAAATGTACCTGTAATGATAAATCAACACCAGTAGGATGCAGTATTGCACCACAGGAGAGGTCATAAGTCAGTGGAGAGAAGGAGGAGGAGTGTGGGGGTGTTTGGAGAGCGTGCTGCTGTAGCAGAGCGATGATAGCGTAGCATTGAGACGGATCAGCGATCTAGTTTAGCGATAGTATAGCAGGAGTGATGGCGAAAAAGAATAGTTATAAGCAGTGTACACTGCTTCAGAGATTGACTCGCGGATCAGTGAGTGAGGTCGAGAGGGGAGAGAGTGGAGACCCCGGTGGAGGTCCGTCTCTGCAGCCATATTTGCGCGGAGCAAGAGCAGAGACACACCTTCCGCCTCTCGCAGCGTATCAGCTGCTGCTGTTACTGATGCCTCGGATTCGTTCAGCAAACCTGATCATGATTTATCGGATGAGTGGTTGCAGTCTCAATCCAGCAGAGCATCCTCTCCAGAAGCTCCACAAAGAGTCGAAGGTAAGAACTTGCTAAATTGCCTAGAATATGCTAACTTGAGAGGAGGGAAAGGCGCGGAAACTTGCTCTGATCTGCTAAGTAACACAGCGCTCAAATCCTACTGTTTCTTTAGTAAATGCCAGTTATGCGTTTTATCATTGTTGTATTTATTATTTGTATGTTTAGTTATTTCATGCTTGAACATCTTGTTGTAGTGTCATAGCTCTGACTAAATGAAATGTGTTCTCCATTCACAGATTCTGATAAAAGAGCCCTCCCCCTGTCCCCCATTGGGGTTGACAGGGCATGGAGGTAAAGATGATTCCTCCTCATACCATTGTACATATTATTGTATATATTCTCCTGGTATAGTGATTTACAAATGTATATTATTTACAGGTGGTGCATCAAGAGGCAGTTGCTGTGCACAAAAAAGGTAAAAGAACTACTATTTCTATTCTTGTACATCCCATGGCAATATAATATAATAATAATAATATAGTATACTGTGTTTGGTCCAAAAGTAGTCAGTCAATAATGTGGGAGGAAGGCCTTCATTGTATTTTATGTATTGATTTATTGTAACAAATTCACTGTATAATATATTTATTGTGTGTATCCAATTTCCAGCACGTTCGTCACCCAGATGCTCTGGGGAAGATGGCTGACAGGAGGATGAGTGGGAGCCGAGTCAGTCCCTTCACAGGAGCTCCTGGACCTCAGAGACTGCGGACAGAGGCTGCGAAGCTGGATTCATCTGATCCAGCTGACTTTCTGGAGCTGGATTCATCTGATCCAGACTTTCTGGAGCTCTTCTTCACGGAGGGAGAACTACAAATGTCACATCGTGTCGTGTTCCGTTGCACACAGTGTTTCAACCTCTACAACTCAAAGCTGAACTACTGGGAGGACTGAAAAAGCAGATAAACTCACTCATACACACACTCACGAACACTCACACGCACTCACTCACTCACTCACGCACACAGACACTCACTCGCACACTGACATTCACACACACAGACACTCACTCACACAGACACTCACTCGCACACTGACATTCACACATTCACATGCTTCATTCTATTTTATACATCTATAGTTTTATTGATCTTTGTGTTGTTGTTGTTGTTTGACGTTTTGGTTGATGGTATAGAAGAAAGTTAAATTTTCTATCTGTGAATAAATTGCCAACAATTTGCCATCAAAAGTATTATTTCAGAGTCATGTTTTTATAATTTTTGTAATGGAACAAGTGTGAAGATGTTTTGAGTTGTCACTAAAGCAGCAAAAATGCATCTAAAAGTCACTTTTCTGCTTGATATGTTCCTGTTTACATACAGCTCGTTTTCTCTGTTTTCTTGCTCAGACCAGGTGTTATGGGTGAAAGTATGCTTTGTTCTATGGCGAATAACTCAAGAACGGTAAGAGGTAGAAACAAACTGTTTTTTTTCAGAGTAAAGCAGAGAGGTTAATCTTTAATTTGGTGCCCTTGGTGTTTACATCGTCTAAAAAATGAATATTCTGTGGCACTTCAAAGTTGGGTCAAATCACCTGAAATTGCTGGCAGAACGCACTTCTCAAATCTGAAAATGCCTGGCAGTCAGTGAGTTAAGGGAAACCTTTTTTGGTTATCACGCCGCCAAACCAAGGGATCAGATGATGCATCTAGTGCTTCTTCCTGCAGATACTTTGTTAGTTCCTGGTTTGCTTGTTCTCTCACTGGTACAGCCTCATGTGTTTGTGTCACACGTTGAACTCTCCTGCTTTGTAGGAGATCACTCAATGTTTTTCTTTTAGCACCTGAAGGCCTCTGTTCCGCCACTTCTGCTGTCTCCATCTCTGCAGCTGCACTGCTTGTACCCGCTTCTTGTGCATCTCCATCCTCCATCTTAAGCAGCTCCTTAACAAGCTCTTCCTTGGTGTCCTGCAATACCTCTAAATCCTCCAAACTGCCTCTGTGTCTTGGATCCACAATGGTTGCTTTCCTTAGAAGACTTTGTATATTAGGAGAGCAGTATTTATCTACCAACACCCTGCTCGTGTTGGTCTTGATCTTTGTTGTGAGGTCAGTGTCTTCTGGACTTGGTGCTAACAGTTCACCTTTGATGAGCTCCAGCACTGGCTTTATTGAGGACACTGTGACATACTTCTCACCAGAAAGTATGTCAGTGAAGTCAGCAACAGGCTTCAAGGCTGCATTTATTGACTCCAGCACAGACACATCTTGCCATGTTGGGTTGAGGTGGCCATGTTTTCTATCCTCCACTAGGATTCTTCTGATAGCTGGCAGCTGCTCCAGTACTCTGTCTATCATCTTTTGTTTACTGCCCCATCTGGTGGCCACATCCTGTAAGACAGAAAGCATGTTGTACATCACATTATATCTAGTAATGAATTTGATCTATTTATCTAGGAAGTTCTATTTTATATAATGGAGGGATTTATACTTTATAACAGACTGTAAATTAGACAAAGTTAATCATTTAGTTTTAAAGTATTTCAATTAAAACAATGTTTATCAAATGTAAAAAAAAAATTGCCATTTATAAAACTAACTCACCAGTACAAGTGTGTGCTGAGGGAGGCCAGCTTCAGACTGTGCCTTCATGAGATCCCTCTTCTTTATCCAGCTCACGTTGAAGATGGTCACAAGATTCCTACAGAGTCCACACGCACGCGACGTGCGTTCTTTTTCTGCGTTTAAGGCATTTGTGATAGCCAAATGCAGATTGTCGCCAAAACAATTGAGCCACGGCCAGCCAAGATTGCGTATTTCTGCCACAATATTAGCACCATTGTCAGTAGTAATGCACGAGAGTCTTCCTTCCTGCAGTCCCCATTCATCCAGTGCGCATTTAATGTTTTCAGCCAGGACAGCGGCAGTGTGGTTCTCAGGCACATATCTTGTTTCTAAACATTTCGAGTGCAAAGACCAATCCTCCGTAATGTAATGCACTGTGAGGCTCATATATGGGGTCATGTTAGAGCTGGACCACATATCTGTCGTTGCGGAGAAGAATTGTACATGTTTTATGTCATTCAGAACACCACTTTTGACTTTGTTGTACAACGCAGGAATGGCAGTTTCAGACATGTACGTCTTTTTTGGTAACTCGTATTGTTTATCAAAGTCCCGCAGCATGTCTCTAAACGCGGGTTTATCCACAGTGTTAAATGTCAACATCTCTTTAGCGATGTAGTGTGTTACGCTGTTTGTGAGGGTGCGCCATTTTACGCTCTCACGTTTATACTTTGTCACCTGGGCAAAACAATCTTCT